CTACTACTGGTAATTTGTTAGTTATATGCCTAACAAACGCAAGCGCCCAAACTGTTAAAAAATCTGTGTGCAAATCACTACGGTCATTTCTTACTAACCTCTTTATCTGCTGCTGGTGAAATCGGTTTGTAAGACCAAATTGGTTTGATGACTGACCAATTCTGTTTGACGGCTGACCAATTTAAATAATGGGCTAAATTATGCCGCGAAATAGGAAATTCGAGCCGACCAATTTGGTTTGATGGCTGACCAATTGAAATTTGTTTGTCCAAGTAGGTTCCCATCTATGCAAAAATTACCTGGTCAAAGAAGTAATCTATGTACACGTCGAAAAATTTAAATAAAGTAAAACTAAAACAATTGAAAGCAAAGTAAAATAATAAAATAAAATAATAAAATAAAATAATAAAATAAAATAATAAAATAAAATAATAAAATAAAATAATAAAATAAAATATTAAAAAATAAAATATTAAAAAATGGAATGAAATGAAATTATGGATATGCGTGTATATGCAAATGTTTGTACATCCCACAGAATGCCATGATCCTAATTCATCACGTAAGTAACGTAACATTAACTACTTACAGATCCATTCTCTTTTTTCTTTATGTAAATTTTTGTCTTTTGATTCTGTGCGGTCTTTTTTTTTTTCTTTATGTAAATTTGTCTTTTCATGCTGTCCGGTCTGTTTTTTTTTTTCCGTTCCTTTATAAGTGGCCGTTCTGTGGTGGGGATTGTCATTATGTGATTGTATGTACTGTCGGATGCATCTATGTGGCATTATTGCTATAATTTAATAATAATTAATATTAAAAATTTAACAGTGAAAGTGCTGAGGGAAGCCATAACTGAACGCAACAGTCATCTGCAGACTCCCCACCATATGTATGTAATTTAAAAATATTTTTTCGAAAAGTCCATGAGTATTTGTAAAATTACATACATTTGAGTGTTCACCGAGCGGTTTGCACTCGTATGTATGTAATTTTTAAAATATTTATGAACTATTAAAAAAGTTATTCGTACAATACTAACAAAAGTAATGGTCTTACGTGTATGCACGTGTATATAATAATGAGATGGTCTGTGACAGGCTCGCGCATTTTGTTTTTTCTTTCAGAATTCAATTCGGTGTGAATCTGTAAATCTTTTTTTTTTAATGATTTTGCGAATGCATTCCAATGTAAATCTATTAATCTACATAATATCTTAAATTAAATAATGTCATAATGGTAATTATGTATATATCTTGCAACAAATTGTCTAATCAGTATATGTCATGATAATTATGCTATATCTTGTTGCTCTGTAAAAGGAAAACAAGGCTGACTCCTTCGTCTCCATGTGTCCTCCACTCATTCTCTCTCTCTCTCTCTCTCTCTCTCTCCTTTCTCTTTCTCTCTCTCTCCCTCTCTCTTCTTTCTTTTTACTCTCTCGTTATGGCTCCGTGACACTATATAGGCATGCAACTGCTTCCTCCTCTCTGTCCCTGTCTCTTATTTCTCTCTCTCTCTCTCTCTCTCTCTCTCTCTCTCTCTCTCTCTCTCTCTCTCTCTCTCTCTCTCTCTCTCTCTCTCTCTCTCTCTCT